CTGGTTTTGGGAAGTTTTTAATTAGACTGATTTTGAGGTAGTCTAAAACCATTATTTACCAAATTTTTTATGCACTGGTTTTAACCGGCTCAAAAACCCTCCCAGAATCAGTATAGTGTATTTTTTAAGGGTTTATAAAATACCCAAAATCGAGGTGTTTTGATTGGTTTTAAAATTTTATTTCACAAATACCTTATCCACTACAAAACTATCTCAATTATATCAAAAAAAAAAAAAAATTAACCATATTATGTACGTTTCCAACCATATTAAATATAAAATAATTTTAAGTAATTATTAAAATCTCATTTCTAAATGCATTCTTGGAGAAGTAGAGCTATAATATTTCAATTATTCCAGATGCTACAAAGAATGGTGAAGAAGGATAAGGATATTTTATCACATTTGAAGTTATAAAATACTAATTAGTAGAAAACAAATAAATAACCCTTACCTTGTAATTGAAAAAACAAAACTTCCAAGTATTGGTTGAAGTTGAGGTATTTTTATGGGCATATCTATAAATTTATCATTTTAAAAAACTGTCAGAAAGGCTAGAAAATAAACTCTCAAGCATAGGTTAGGTGTTTTGAAAACCCTAATAAAAACCTCTTGAAACCGCAACGATGGTTTATCCCCATAACTGCTACCATAAAACTCCCAAACGAACGTTTAGTAAATTCAAAAACAACTTATGTATATGTAATATCTAACTAATCAATTAGAGATGTGCGGTTAATTGTATATATATAATATATCCCATCAATTAAAAAAATCAAATAAAAAATATATGTATAATGATCAATCAAAATGTGTCACGTCAATGTATGTACATATCTCATGATTAATTTGATGTAAATTTATTATAGCTATAACAAGTACTTTATATATACAAAAACTGGTTAATTGAATTATTGAAGATATAACTTTTCATTCCTTTTTTAAATTGTTATGAATTGTACAATGGTATGATATCAGTATCATAGGAAAAAAAAAACGAGAGAGAAACATATAATTAATCGTTATAGGTATAATTTTTTTTATTAGAAATACATTATTGGAGTATTGCACTGCCCGAAATCTATGTGACTCGGTAAAAGAGTCGTTGGTTCGGTTAGAAGTGGAGGAACGCAGAAGCACACTACTGAAGAGTGCAATGAGATGAGTACAGTGGTTATTTTGTGTGTGTACAATGGACCAACACTGTAAGTGGGGGCACCATTTTCCCTTTGGCATGTGCTCCACTACTGTCTATGCCATCAACACGCCTTTTGACCCATCCATGCATAAATTCATCATTCTCTCCGTTTCTAGCCAACACATCCCCATGGCTACACACAGAATTGTTACTTCTGTTTTGTTTATGTTATAGGCTTAGGAATATGGTCTGCCACTAGAGCCTCTTCATTATGAGAACCTATTCACCACATTCCTGCAGTTGGCTATGGCGAAGGCCATGGTGCTGGTGGAGGTGCTGGATATGGTGGTGGTGAGGTCGGTGGATATGGTGGTGGAGGTGGCTCAGGAGGTGGTGTGGTGCTGCGCATGCAGCTGTAGGGGGAGACTGGGGATATGGAAGTGGGTTGGGGTAGTGAGAAGGTGCGTGGCGGTGGTTATGGAGGTGCTGGGTGACATGGTGGCGGTAGCGGTGGTGGCAGTGGTGGTGAGCTGCTTATGGTGCTGGAGGTGAGCCATGGTGTGGGATATGAAGTGGTGGTGGTGAAGGAAGCGGTGCTGGCTATGGCGGAGTGGTTATGGAGGTTGCTGGTGGACATGGTGGTGGTGGTGGTGGTGGCAGCGGGGGAGGGTGGAGCTCTATGGGTCTGGTGGTGAACAGCTGCTGGATATGGAAGTGGTGGTGGGTGGGTGAGGTGCTGGTGGGTGCTGGCTATGGAGGGTGCTGTGGACATGGTGGGGCGGCGGCAGTGGAGGGGGAGCTGCCTACGGTTCCGGAGGTGAGCATGGTTCTGGATACGGAAGTGGAGGTGTGCAGGTGGTGGTGCTGGCTATGGTGGAAGGCGTGGTGGTGGAGCTGCTTATGGCGCTGGAGGTGAGCATGGTGCTGGGTATGGAAGTGGTGGTGGAGAAGGTGGGGGTGCGGGTGCTGGTGGAACGAAATATTGGTGGGGAGGTGGTGGTGGTCATGGGAGGCGGTGGAGGCGGATATGGAGCTGGGGGGAAGCATGGAGGTGGTTTAGGAGGAGGTGAAGGCGGTGGCTACGGTGGTGGTGCTGGTTCTGGCGGTGGAGGCGGTGGGGGAGTGGAGGTGGTGGTGGAGCAGGTTTATGGTGCAGGAGGAGCCGATGGAGGTGGATTGGGTGGGTGAGAGCTGGGAAGGTTATGGTGGAGGTAGGGGTGGTGGTGGCGGTGGTGGTAGGGTGGTGGAGGTGGTGGAGGCTATGCTCTGAAAAATCCAGACTACATGAAATATTGTACTCTAAATAATAATAATAAAATTAATTATAGACGAGGCTAAGAAGATGCTTTATATTTATAAGTAACACAGGAAGAGATGGATATTGTAGGTTGTATCAATCATTTAATAATATATTCTTCTATTAAAATAAATTCAAAGCTCAATTGGCTCTCTTAAGCTTTAATCCCATGTTTACATGCATGACAATGCTGAGTGTTAATTAGTAGACTAAACAAATCATGTAATTATTACGTACAACAACAGGATTAAATTTATTATAGAAAATATAAGAGGAAAAAACATGAACTTTGGAAGCGAATTAAAATAATATCAATTCCCTTGAGCTTTTTTACTTCATCTTCATCGCAATCTTCGAGTATACCTTCAATCGTTGAGAAAGATTCAGTTGGGGAGTTGGCACTAAAGAGGTGGCGATTCTCCAGGAGTTCTATTATCATTCAAGGAAATCCTCTAATCATATCACTCTCCTCCTTCATTCATCATCACCATGTTACATGGAATTTTTCCGCATTGAATTCTCTATTCTTTTTGTGATACTGTCACTGCAACATCGCAATAATTCCAAGTTTCCATTAATTTATTATATATAACCTTCTTCAACAAAAAATTCTCAAACAATGTTAAAATCAGTTAATCCTGTCAAAAACAACCCATGTAGCATGAAGGCTGACGATTCTCTCAACAACCAGTAGTCGTGGAGGATAGCCATTAACTACTTCTTTTTGCGGCAGAACCCCATATTTTTGCAGAGGTCGATCACAGCTTGAAGCTTCAAATATTTTGCATCGCTTTTCCATTCACTTTTATCTTTTGCATACTAGGTCTTCCACTTCCAGCATCCAAACATCCCCCATGTTTTTGAAGACACTAGATTATATAATTAGTTAGTTAATATATTTTAATTTATATTGGAAATAATATATATATATATATATATATATATATATATATATATATATATATATATATAATTATATATATATATAAATTGAAGACTTACGGGGAATGTAAGCCATGGCATGAGACCAAGAAGAGGGGACAGTAGAACGGTAGGCATAATATTGTGGAGTGCCCATTCAAGAGGTTCCATGGTGAAATCTTTAAGCCCATCCATTACAATCACCACTGTTTACCGATGTTGTAGGCTGAGCCAGCAGGTGAATCACCACCGATACATCATCTCCTGCTGATGATCTCTCGCTCCATCAAAAGGCCTTGCCTTTGTGAGGAAAGGTTACAAACCATTTTCCAGCTAGCTGATTCTAATTATTTTGCCAATACAAAAATTTTCAGTTTCATGTAAGAAGAAATTGTTATGAGAGGTAAGGGAAGGCAATTTGTGTAGATGGATTTAGCTCAAATAATGGGAGTCCGGATTTGTCTTTTGGGAAAAAGAAAAATTAAGGTCTGGCAAAACAAAGTATGAGCATATTGTTTTTGAAATAAACTAAGCTTTTTTTTTTTTTTTTTCTGGAGGATTAATACAAGATGTGATTTGACATATATCTATAACCAATGCAAGTGCAGAGTGTAATGTACAACGAAGCCAAGTTCTGAGTCAATTACTATGCCAAGTTGTCTGTAAGATTATGCTCAGCTTTAAATTTTATAGTGAATATGACTATCAAAGGAATTGTCTCATTACTGTAAAATGTATCAGAAGTATCGTAGCAGGATAGATTGTCTAGAACACTAACACAATAGTGACAAACTTCCATGCGATTCATTTCATTTTTGATAATAGACATGAAATCTGTTTGGATTATAAGTTGTATTCTATAGGGAGAACGACATTTTCCCACCTAAGGTTTGGCAAAAAAGTAATGCTATATTTACACTATCCATTACACCATAATGTGGCATATCCTATATCTACACAAATTTTTAATTATTTTGAATTTTTAATATTATAATAAAATAATTATTAGTAAAATAGTGATGGTGTAATGAAAATGATGTAATGCATGATGTAAATGTAGCATTACTCTTGGCAAAATGATACTTTCCCACTTTTCAAGTTTCAAAATTCGGTTAATATTTTATTGAAAACAACCTTACATATTTTACTTTATAATTTTTTTATTATTTTTCAATTAACCAAAAAGTTAAAAAAGAAAAAATAATTAATCCCATCTAAATAGTAAGAATAATACTATAAAATTATTTAAAGTTAAATGATCTTAATATTTATTTATTTATAATATCACCAACATCCTATCATTGTTATTCAATAATCTATTAAATTTATAATAATTTTCATAATATAATATTTTCTATTTTTACTAATTAACGTAAAAAATCAATATTTCTAATTAATTAAATAAATAAAAAAATATTTTTACATTTAACTTAATAAATAATCAAATAAAAACTTTAATTTAACTAAATTTTAATTTATAATGAACTATTTTTAAGATATTTTCATCTCTCTAATCAAATATTAACAAAAAAAAAAAAAAAAAAACACTAAAAGACTTGACAAAAAATGTATAAGTGTCATTTTAAAATTTAACTAAAAAAAAAACACTTTTGGTTTGACAAAAAAGTGTTGTTTTGTCAAACCAAGTGGGAAAATGTCGTTCTCCCTATTCTCCATTATTCGTTAGCTCAACTTCACATGGAGATAATAGGATAGTAACTAAAAGAAAAAGCTTTTATCCTACTTTGAAAATATCATAGCAAAATTACTACTCACACTAAAACTGAACTTTACATTTTCCAGTAGATACAAGATCAATGTAATATTCAGTATAATATTAGGAACCTTAATGTTAACATCTAATATTTCTAAGCAAAATCTATTAACTGTTCAGCATCATATTGCCACACGACGCATGACCGAGCTATGGCTGTGTTTGCGGCGAGCACTACGTGGACTGGACCTTTTACATGGAGATGATTTAACTCTTCTTTTCTTGTTCGTAGAACCATCATTTACTGCAGCCATAAGTTTCAAACACCTTGAACCAGTCATATTCCTCTTAAGGCAGCGTATAGCTTCCTGTCTCTCAAAAGCCTTATCATCCTTTTCCAATTGTCTTTTACCATTTAGCTGACTCTCCAATTTCAGATGATACAGTTTTAGATGCTCGCGAGGGACAGAGTAAGTTTCTAACAAATTCAAAACACGCCAAGTTAAATCAAATTAACAATGTCATGGGAAAACATTCATACAAATAAAAAGAACTGACAATAATGCATTTCTTTACCTGAAGGTTTGCTAGGATAATTATCTGGACTAGGAGACCGGGATGGTGTCAAAGGACGGAAACCATCGTTGCTTTTAACTTTGTCAACACCCTGGGAGCTCTTACTTGCCTCAAGAGAAGGCAAATTATCTACTTTCTCATTGGAAAACACTCCATGACCATCACTCGTCCTAAGGGGCTTTGAAGCATCGATAGTGGAAGAATCATCTCTAGTCTCAATTTTGGACACATTCTGCCGTGTTCCTGAGGTAAAAGATGCAGAAATTCCCTCCATAGCATCCCTAGTTCCATTGACCTTAACAGCTTCCACTCTTGTTTCACATGAGAAATGGCTTGAACTCTCTCCAGAAGTGTCTCTGGATTCATTGATTTCAGCATTTGTTACCCGGCAATAGTGAGTAAAACCACCATCCATATTATCTAGAACTGACTTGGGTGATGAATTGGAAGCGGTATCCAAGCACTTCTCAGCTTCTAACAAACTGGAACACCAGGGAGTGCCCTGCTTGGCATAGAACAGAATATAGGCATCCTGGGAGAGAACAACATCCTCATTGACCCTAGTGACCTACAAAAGATCAAACAAGAAAATACATGAAGTTGCATGGATGAAAGAGAAAATTCATGAAAAATGATCCGGTATTGAGCATCTTGATTCCCATTTAAACAGAGGAAGAACCAAAGCAAAAAAAAATTCCACTCCCATAGATCTCAAATAACAAGGCCTCCATCCAGACCTGGATTTCATTGCATCATAAAATCCCAAGTTCTGAAAAAATCTAAGCACAAATCCAGATCCTTTTTCATATGCCTCAAAAACAACCTAAACCTAATCAAGAGCAAGAATATTACACTCAAAGACTAACTAAGAATAATTTATAAAATAATTACCCTTGAATCATTTAGCTTGTGCCATGTGTCTGGAGAGGATCGAATGTAAGAAAAGTAATGCCCATAAGTTGGTAAACATCCAGTGTGCTCCACAATTGCATATAGATGATACTTTAACTCCACCTATAGAAATTGAACAGCACAAGAAAATTCGTTAACTTGTATCTTTCTATAGAGAGAAGAAATATGACGTGAATTCAATGCACACTAAATCAATGTTAAGGAACTGCAAAAATTTACATAGTGATCTAATCATCCAATCATATCCTCCTAGGTCCTTTTGTTCTTATCTCTCAACAGTTAGTCAAAAGTAGCAATAAAATAATGCTTTCCAGCAGTGCAGAATAAACAGCAAAGAACTCCAATCTAGAAAATGAAAATTTTAACAAATCTAACAATAATCTACTACTACTATTCTAATTAGCAACAAATAGATAATCTTTGACTCACATCACCATTTTGACCACCATTGGTGTAGGGCTGCAAGTCAAGCTCCAACGGGAATTCAACATGCTTATCAATCTTCACAACATAGGTTCCGTCCGTCTTGAATCTTTTCAAATGAAATGCAGCAACCAAAGGAGCCTGGTCCAGCATAAGCTGCTTTTCCACTGACACTTCTTCCTTACAGTTCTCACAAGTAAACTTTGTCTCTGTATCTTCAATCTTTTCCAGCTTAGTGAAAGATTCCAGTGCAGCTTCAAGAGAGCCAACCTCTTCAATCTCCAAACTCAGGTCAATTAGTGGTTCATATGTGTCAGAACAATGACCACAATTGCAGCATTGCAACTGAAATGCAAATGCTAGCAATTAGAAAATACAATAAAAGAATCTATAATCCAAACATTGAGCAAAGTAGCATTTATGTTCAGAAAAGTCATTTCATACTTTGCTAATGAGGCGGCCACCAAAAATCTGCTCCACTATGTTGTTATCTTTGCGAGGCAAACTCTCATCTATTTTCTTAGAGTCCAAACAGCATCTTTCAAGTCTATCTAACAAACACTGCAGGAACTCATGGGCATCTTCTTGCTGGTATCTTTCAAAGGAAGATGAAATGTCTAATTATTATAAATTAAGAATAACAATCAATGACAAGAACTCATTGAAAAAACTCCCATCCAAACATCAATATATCTTGCAAAATAGGTGAACAGATGTAGCATTCTAAGCGTTAGATGCATCAAAAGTATCATAAACTTAACTGCTGCAACAAAACTAATTTAAGCCATATTAGATATAATGTGCAAAAATCCAATAACTATGATTAAAAGCTCCTGTATTATAGTGACAAATCACCCAAAAAAAAAAACCAAACAACAAGAGGAAATATTTGCATGATCATAAACAAACACGAAAAAAATTGCATGATTATAAATAAACGGAAAAAAAAAATTGTATGATTATAAATAAATGCGAAAAAGGATACTGTGCAAATTCTCAACAAGCTTTGAAGGAGAGACAACTTTTCCTGAAGAAGTTAATGAAAGGTCAATCTGTTGACAAAGAGCACAAATAACACAGAATCCTTCACTAGCACCTGTAAAAATTGCAATCCAGATACAATTAAATTCCAATTTTCAGAAGTAAGAAACAAATACTAGCAAAAATCAATATATTTGAGTCAGTCTTCAGCTACAATAACGGCATATTCTAATACCAAAAGTAAGCCTTGAAATACAAGACTGAAAAGTTAAAACTATATCATTACGAGTCTTACATTCAATCTTACAATTTAAAAGTTCCCCTTTAAAATTTGGTAATGCATCTTTTCTACCACTATCACGTTCTTCGACATCCTAACATTTCCAAATGTTGTGGCCATTCATATAAACTTGCTACTTATTCAGAATATAAAAACCCCAAAAAGAGTAATTGACCTTACCATCACATGGCTTTACATGATTGCAAGAACGAAGACGCTGAACAAAGGGCACCGTATGAGTGAAGCATTGCAGAATTGCATTGATGAAGCATGTGTTCCCCAGATTTTCAAGCCCTGCAGCCTGCAAAATCATAAACAAAAACACATAAATTTAACCAACTTATCAAGATTCCTTTACAATTACTAAAAATTCAAATAAATTTTGATAACTAACCACTCCAGTAGGCCTGATTTGTACAAATTCTCTGCGAGACGGCCACGGGATGTTGCTACTAGGCCACAGCTTCTCTGACCGTGAGTTCGAGTACGGCCGGAAAGAATCACTGTAATTTTCTTCATCATTATCTTCTTCTTCAACATCACAGTCTACTAGATTTTCTTGGGGACCCATTGCTTCTGAAGACCCATCGATACTCAAAGGCTGAGGCCCAAAATGAGCCAACGATTGATAACTATCATGATTATCATCTAGGGTTTCAGTATCTTCCATTAATGAAGAAGACCGATCAACGGTTTTTGAAGTAGAAGGGACTATACCCGAAATTGGTGAAGTCCCATCTCGATTTGAAGATAAAGAAACCAAAGATTGGTCATTTAGGGTTTCTTTATGCGGCGACTGATGAAGATTCTGAGAAGGACCAGAGTCAGGTTCTAGGATTTCGGTCATAAGGGTATTCATTGAGTAGGCGAAAATTGATATAGAGAATGGATTCAAAGAGAACGATAAGAAAGAATCAGAAATTTCATTTCGGGCTTGTATTTACTGAAGTTTGGAATAGAATGCGAGGGATTTAAAATTTGGAAGGAGCTTTTTAGGGTTTGTGAAGAAGCGGGAAGTATTTAGATAGGTTTTGAAAAGAGAGGGAAAAACTCAGCCGCCATTTGTTTGGCTTTTCTTGCTTAGCCAAAATCAAATTTTGGTTGAAAACTCAAAGTGAATTGAATATGAAAGAGATGCAAATTGCGAGCGAGCTCACTCCTTTACTGTTGCTTTTTCACTTAAAAACATAACTAATTTACTTTTGATTAAGGGGTAATTTTGGTAATCTGCTTTTAGCTTTGGTGAAATATTTAACACACCCCTGCGGTTCAGAAAATAGATTAATTACCCCCCGCGGTTAATTGCAAAATTGTTATAGATCCCTCAAGAGATCCTCGAATTTCATAACTCGCCCAAACTCTTTAAAACCCCTAAAATTTAGTTTAAAAACACATGAGAATACTAATTGTTACAAGAGTAATGCAATAGTTATCGACGAGTGTGCACCGAATGACGTGGCTAAATCCTGACCGTTTATTTATTATCAGTTAATATTAATCAACGGTCAGGATTTTGTCACGTCATTCGGTGTAAACTTTTCGGTAACCGTATCATTTTCGTTGTTACAAACCCACTAGATAGAACTCACCTTAAAAACGGGATTATAAGGGGGGCGAGCAAAGGGCTTAATAAACCACCTACTAATCCCTATTCCTAGTGGATGTGGGATTTTTACAGCCAAAAAAAAGGGGAAAAAAAAAACCATTTAACAAGATAAACATATTTACATGGTAAAAATACATAGAATATATAAATTATATTTAAATATTTATTATATGTGTTGATACAAAAAATACAGTAACTAGAGTAATCCGATTGACCTTGACGGAATCAGAATCGATGTGAGCGTGATTATGGATAATCAACAATGTTATTAATGTAAAATCAATAATGTAAAGAATAAGGAAGATTTTTAAAGTAGTTTGGCAAGTTTGAATCTTGAGCCTACATCTATTGTTTTTCTTGTTTGCTTATAGAGCTTACAAGAAATCAATATAGTGCCTAGAATAATTTGCTAACCCCTTTCTCATCATTGAATGGGGTTTATATACAAGTTTTTTATAAAGGAAATAGCAAAATTAAAGGAATAAAAATCAAGATTACAATGCAACTCCGATATTCTCGCGTTTGAGCGATAAGATCGCGCTATCATATTTGTTGATCTAATCACTTTTGAGATATCTGGGATCTGAGTTTATCTATGACTTGCTCGAACAACTATCAAGATTGGTCGTGACTAGCTTATGCTAGGTCAAATTATATTTCGATGAACTTATGCTAGGTCTGACAAGTCTTGAGCCAAACTGATTTTGGGTCAAACTACAACTTCGTGGAATTCTTACTTCTCCAACCTTAGTGAAAAAATCACAGACAACAAGATGGATCGTTGATTGATTTAATTTTTGGTGGTAATATAGACGGTTAACACATTTTGATTGCTAAAATGAGCAAATTATCTCTTGAAAATTAGTAAAATTTCTTATTTCTAGTTTTCTTTTAAATTTTTATGAATTTCAGGTTTTTGTTTTAATTATTTTGAATATTTTTTCACTCTATTAGGATTTAGGGTGAACAGAAAATAATAATAATACACTAAAATACAAGGCAATCATGAGCTTTTTGGTTTGCGTTTTCACGCCTGAGGCTACACAAACCCATCCCAAATTCCATCCATTATCATCTATTATCTCACATTTATCCAATACATAACTCGTATGATCTTTAGGGTGTGTTTAATTCAGAGAATATTATATTAATGAAAAAATTAGATTATCTTGAAGATTATTGGGAATGTTTAGGGAAATGTGTTTTAGTTGGTTGAAATAAATTGGTAGGTATATTATATTAATATGGCTGTGCCACAAATCTGGCCGTGAAACAACGGCCATTTCATGGCCAAAGACCTAGAAGTTTCACGACCATATTTGTGGTTGTTTTACGGTAATATCTTTGGCCGTGAAATAGCCAGATCTGGCAGTGTGATCCATAAGGATGTATACGAGCCGAGCCGAGCCGAGTATCTTGGTACTCGAGCTCGATCGTGATGAACAGTAGCGAGCTCGAGCTCAATCGAGCTTTAATATTCCTGTTGAGCTCGAGCTCGCAAGTCTGAAGTGGTACTCGAGCTCGAGCTCGCTCAAACGACCTCAAACGAGCTCGAGCCTAACCGAGCTCAATAATTTATTGTATTTTCTCTTTCTTCCCATATTTTCTCTTTCTTCTTTTCACCTATCAATATCATCTTTTGTTTTTTTTTTCTCATTCTCCCCTTATTTTCTCTTTCTTCTTTTCACCTATCACCTCAACTTTTTTTTTTCTCTCTTTCTCCCTGTCTTCTCTTCTCTTTTCTTACTTCTTCAGATCTTTTCCTTCATCTATATTTTTTTTTTTTTCTTTCTCCCCATTCTCTTATCTTTCTTCTTTACTTCTTCCATATTCTCTTCTCTATTCTCACCTCCTCTTCTCTTTCTTCTTCTACTCCTTCAGATTTTCTCCTTCATTAATTTTCTTTCACATTCTAAGCTCGAATGGAACCGAGGATTAATGAAGGTGAAAGAGATGAGTTTTTGTTTGAGCTTTGAAATGGGTTTTGAGTTTTTGTCTGTGAATGGGTCATGGGTGTTGTTTGTAATTTTGACAACTTAAAAATAAAACTTTTAAAATCTTGCAAATTGCCCCCTAAGCTCGTTTAAGCTTGTGAGCCTGACAAGCGGAGCTCGACCCGGATCGAACTCGGCTTGTCACTGTTCACGAGCTGCTCGAGCTCGAGCTCAACTTGACTGATTTCGAGTTGAGCTCGAGCTTGGGACGAGCCGAGCTCGAGTAGCTCGCGAGCTACCCGGCTTGTGGCTCATCCCTAGTGATCCATGGCCGAAAAAGGTCCTACCGGCATATGGCCAGCCAAATCTGACCAGTCGTGTGCCATTCCGTCAACGCCAGCAGTGATGGCCAAATCCAGCCATCATCTTTGGGTTATTTTTTTAAATTACAGGGTTATTTATGTCCTAAAACCTTTGTATATAAGGATAAAATAGTTCATTAATATTTTTATAAATTGTCTTTAAAACAAGGGCATTATTGTCCTAAAATTTTATTAATAAGGGGTAAAATTGTAACAAAAATACGATTACCAAGTAATCTTAAAATACCTAAGAAAATAGAGGTAATTAGACTATCTCCTATATTACTGGTAGTAACTACTATTGGTTTTGGAAGATTACTGAAATTTTATGTTACTTGACAATCAAACGTGGTAATCAAATAATATAAGATGACATTACCTTAGTAATCTTCTATTAACCCTAAACAAACACACTATTAATGAAATTTAATGGTATAATATAGTGTTTTAAAACCCGACCCGGCAGGTGAAACCAGTTTAACTGTGACTCGGGACCTTCATCGGGCTAGGTTAACAATTTTCCTATTCCCCCAAAACCCTAGAATTTGGGATGATGATCGACGAACAATTAAAGGTTGGGATGTTGGGGCTTTTGAAGAGGAAGTGCTAGTGAGTGCAACGGTCGTAACCAAATTGGTTTCCAAGGAATTAGTCGACCAAAATTCGAAAAAAACCAATGGTGGCAATAGCCAGCTTTTGCCGGCGATTGGCGAGATGAACGAGGGTAGGGTGAGATAGGTTTTGGTTAGGAGGTTGAGGGGAGTATTTTCGTGGTGATGGGAGGGTCACGTTGACGATAGTGAGATTTGGCCGAAATTGGTTAACGTTGGCGTTGGTTAGAAGTGGCCGAAATCGATCGATTTTGGCCAAATCTTGGGTAGATCTTCTAAGGTATGGGCTCAAGGACCAATTGTGATTGCATTTGCTGTGTCACCGTCGCAAATTAGTCAATGGCTGATTTGTATTCAGGGTGTGTTTGCTAAATTTCAAACTTGTAGGGACTTACATGTAATTTTTAGGAGTGCATTTGCCGAATTTTAAAATTTTTGACACCCGGTTTTACCGGCTAGTCAAATCAGTTAGAATGGTCACCTAAGACCCGACAACTTCGCCGAGTTTCTTCCCAGGTTGGTTATTAAAACATTGGTATAATATAACGTTGAAAAACCTCAATATGTAAGCATATTGAGAAGAATAATTAACGTTCCCACCCAAGGTTTAGTAAAATCTTAGGTTGGTACCCCTGGTTTCATAAATTCCAAATTCCCACCCTTATATGGATGTCGTTAGTGATATTTTAATAGTTGAGGGCTAAAATGGTCTTTTTCTCTTTTCCCTTCCCATTTCTTCTACATCTTCGCCTCTTCTTCCTATCTTCTTCTTTTTCCTCCACATCTCAAAACGGTTTTTGTTTCAAGCCCCCTTGCTTGATTCCGATAGCGTCTTGACCCCCCGCCACCACCGTTTGATCCTCCAACCCAACCACAGCAAACCCCCTTCTATCCCCTACCCCGCAGATCCAGCAAATCATCCCCTGGCTGTATTTTGAAATCAGTCCAGCCACCGACCTTTTCGCCACTTTTCCAATTCTATTTCACCCAAAACCACCGCCATTTGCCTGAACCTCCCACACCAAAACCCCAACATTTCCTTAGTTGAAACAAGTTTTTTTTGTACATGCTGTGCAACTATCCCCAACCGAATTCCCATTGATTCTGACGGCCTCAACCCCAAACGACACCACCCCCGCACTCACAAACATCTCCCCTTCAAAACCCCCAACCTTCCCAACCACGATTGCCCGCCGTCCACCGCCGCCAATCAGCTTTGGGTTTTGCAAAATCAATTGAAATTGAAGTTTGATTGAGTTGTGGAATTTATTTTTGATTTTTTATTTAGCTTTTTGCTTTTGCATTTTGTCTCTATTTTTGTATTTTGTTTGATTATTTATTTTGATTGTTGTGTTGCGGGGAAAGAAGAAGGGTCACTTGTGGTGGTGATTTGGCCAACTGCTGGTTGGAAAGAAGAAGGGTCGACTGTGGTGGTGGTTTGGGATGGGATAGTTTGGCTAGCTGTGGTGGTGGTTTGAGATGGGATTGCTTGGAATAAGCTGTGAAGAAGAGGAGGGGAGACAAGGAAGAAGAAGGTCCAAGCATTTGGTAAAAGAACCCTTTGCCCCTATGTCATAACCCCACAACCCACTCGTCACTAACGATGTCT